GCCAAATCCGGCCCCCATCTATGTTGGTTTTTTTTGACCCCCTTCCAGAAACTGAACATCAGTGGACTTTGGCGCACGCCGCACGCGGGGGGGGGGGGGGCTGGTTGCTCATCCCCGACGACTCCCCGCCCGCCCCGACCGACCCTGATCACCGTTCATCACGGCAGAGACTCAATTAGGCAAATCGTGCCCTGGCTCCTGCGTCCGGCATGTGCTATGATCCTTGTAGCCATGTCTGTGTGTTTTTATTTATGTCCCATCTCATTTGAATCAAACCGCTGATCACTGCCAGTACATCCCTCCAAACTAACCTCATATCGTGCACTGACGAAGCCAATTCAAAAAAAGGCACAAATTAGTTGCAGGTGACTAGCTCAAGTCAGAGCGTTGCCGAGTGCGTATTTTGAAGCCTTTCTTTCGCACTTTGCGTGGCTTTTGTCTGTTCACACAAAAACCCTGTTGTGCTGTGCTTGCGCAAATGCAAATGCCATTTGTTGCCCATCGTCATCATTCGTCCATCCACGCCCCCTCCCACTCGTATTACCGCATCTCTTCACGAGCAAAAAACCCCAAAAAAAACAAAGAGGAAAAGAAACGTTTATCCGGCAATGCGGAGAACCCAGCTGGCTGTTCGAAACTAACCAGTTAGGCTTCCTGGTCGGCTATTCAAGCCGTAAGAGGGTTGGAGCCAACTAACCCTTGGCTAAACTGAGACAAGACGTCATCCTATACCTATACAAAGAACGTTGTAGACGCCACAGTTCTGTAAGACATCTTACCTCGCATTCATTTCAGGAAGATCGTCTAATTCACCCCGGGCAGCGTGGTACGCGTGGTGTCTAGAACATGGTATGATTAATATCAGGGAGATGGAAAGTCACAGTGGCTGAACGAGATTGTTCCTTGTTTTGATTTGTTTCTCCTAATAATGCCTGCTAGTCGCTGCCGCTTGGTGGTTTTGCCCACTTGGACGTGGCGTCGTCGCGGCGCCCCCAATAGTTCAATACAGAATGACCAACCACATCTCGTTCCATTCTGACGGAAGCTGAGCTGGCGACCTGTCAAAATCATCAATCCCATCTTGCACTTGGCGCACCTGATCAAAACCGTCTGTGCTTTTCTCTGCTTTGACATATATAGTCTTCTGTTTTAGGTGTCCCATACGATGATCACCAACTCACCCCCTCCCCCCAATCAGCCCAAGTTCATCTGGCATTCCAGCTCGAAAGCCACCCCTGCGTCAAAGTGCACGCTCTCCCGCCTGGGGGGGTTATGCCGCGCTTTCCTGTGGAACAAGATCTACTCCAACGCGACCCGTCGCTACTTCACCATGGCACCACGATGCCTCCATTCTCGCTCGATTTCCCCATATGGCGAGATCCGCAGCGGCACTCCCCATTTCATTGATTTCATACAGTGCGCAACTGACAGCCGGAAGCTAGCTACTCGTATCGGGGAGCCTGCAGTAGCCTCAAGGAGCCGTCGAGGTCTTCGAAGCTTAGATTTGCGCTCGAGGTCTAGACGGCTCGCGGGTTGCTTTGACACGGACTAGCAGCTGTTAGCTTCTAAACTTCATGCTTCCGTCGGTAATAGTCGCTATGCGGAGCTCGCTGTTGCTCTTGGTCGCCATGTTTCATAGTGATCAAAGTTTGTCTATCAACGACCTTCGGTAGATGTCGCATGTTGTAGTTGTATCTTTTCGCAATCCTGTGTATCCCATTGTATCTTCTTGTATACACGTATACCTACGTGTATCCTGTATGTCCAACCCACTATGCACGATGCCCCCCAACCAACCAGCAACGCCATAAATGCAAGTCAAAGATTCCCGCCATTTGGTTACTGCTCATCGTTTTTCTCCGGGGTAGCAGCCGCTCCCTCCTGCGGCTCTGTCTTGGGCACAGCGTGCAGCAGTTCCTCCAGTCCACCCACTGTCGTTGGTCCACTCATGCCTGCAGGTGGCATGGCCCATTTCGGCAGCGGACTCTTGTACGACCACGCGCCGTCAGCGTCTTCGTATCGCAGGCTGTGCAGCCACAGGGACAGCTCATGGCTTCCAGGATCCGAGTACAATGGCGTCGCGCACACGTCGCAGAGCTGCCCCGTCATCTTCTCGGCCCGTTTCTTCTCGTACTCGTCCACCATCTCGTCATAGTACACCACGGCCTGCGCGACCTCCTCCTTGCCCATGCGCGACAGCCGGCTGATGATGTCCTCATCCGTGTTTCGCGTAGCGTCAGGGTCGTCGTGGCCCAGATTGATTCCCCATACACGCTGGTTTGCGTAAATGGGGTCGTTTTGGATGGGGTATCCGAGATGCTGCAGGTGCACACGGATCTGATGCGTTCGGCCTGTTACCGGCAGACAGCGCACAATGGAGTAGCCTGTACGTTTCCGCATAATCGTATCGTCCGGGGATTGTGTTACTGCCGTACGTGGAGGGTAGTACGCCAGCCTCTTAAACACTGTCCTGGCCGACTTGCCGTTTGCTCTGACACGGTTCAGGCCTAGTTTAGGGGAAATCTGTAGAATAGGCATATCGCAGACGACTTCGCCGTCGGGAAACTCGCCCATCACTCGCGCCAGATATTCTTTCCGCACCGTGCGCTCTCTGATTTTATCCCCTAGTTCCTCGGCGGCCTTGGGGCTCTTTCCGATAAACATGATGCCGCTCGTCAGCCGGTCCAGCCGATTACACGGGTACGGCATAAAGTCCTTGCCGCGATCCGACTTCATAATCTCAATGACCGAGTTAAAGTTGTAGCGGCCCGCCGGATGAACAGGCACACCCGACGGCTTGTTGATGACAATCATGTCTTCGTCTTCGTGGATGATGCCCACGGGCTCTGCCGTGACGGGCGGTTCGTGGCGGTGCAGCGTGTGCGAGATCTTGTCCCCATTGCGCACAATGTATTCGGGGCCGACTCTGCGCTGGTTGACAAAGATGTCGCCCAGCTCCATCGCGGCGCGGTAGTACTCCAGCGGCCGGTCGCGAAATTCGCAGGCAAAAATATCAATCAGCGTGCGTCCGCGCCACCTCTCCTTGCACCAGGTATTGTATGTAAAGTGGTATGGCTGCACGCGACGCAGGTCATCCTCGAAGTAATATGGTCGGGGCCAGAGGTCGCCGGCCGGCGTGATGAGCGGTCCAGGAGGGGCGTCCATCTCGGCCGCGTGCTTTTCCTGCTGATGCTTGATCTTCGCCTCCTTCCTTGCTTCCTTTTGAGCGAGCGATAGTCTTTTGAGCGCTTCAACGGAGGCCGCGCCAACGGCGGCCTCGGAAATCTCGGCCGCAGCCGGGGCCGTCATGCTGAACTTGGCTGTCTGTCGTCGTAAAATGGTCGTGCTGTTTGCGACGGTCTTGCGCCCTATGTTTCGAATAAATCGACGCCCTAGCATCGAGAGCTGAGGAGTATAGTTTTGCAATTGAAAAGACTGACCCGCAGCAATCTCATGCAAGCGTTCGCCGTATCCAAATCATCAATATCTCACGCGACCTTGCCTGTTGGCTCTGCCCCTCTGGTAATCGCAATTGTGACCCTGAAAAAATAGCGGTCAGAGAGGGCAGAAATTACAGGTAGCTGCTGACATAACGCCGCCCGCTGTGGCCGCTGTATCGGGGCGTCCATCCCCGGAATCTCATTTGGGTAAAGACTGAGATCTAGGCGTAGCCTCGGCTCTCACGAGCTTTCTTCCACGCAATTGATTGCGGCACTATCTTGCCCACTTTCGAGGCATGCAACTCAAACTCTATCCCTAGACCTCAATTCCTTCGACTTGAACCTCTGGTTATCTAGTGAATTGGGTTGCCTCTCGATCATCCACGGATCACGCCCCATAATCCCTGGCTACTTCAGCGTAGGGGCAGCGATTCCTTGCGGCTTTCGCTCGGTAGTCGGACCTTCTTCGTAAACGTACTGTGCGAACCTTCTTTCTACTATTTCGGGCGGCGAGTTCTGGTGTACTGTGCTACATCCCAATCATCATGGCGTCCGTGAAGAGCCGAAAGCGGGAAGACTACCCATTCATCCTCGACTACCGCACACGCTGGTACGTCCATCATTCCAGAGATATACGGGCCAAGGGTATTATGATATTGAGAAGCTCACTATCTCTAGGAGCGATAATGACATGTATGATCACATGAACAATTCCATCTACAACTTTATGTAAGTCCTCACGTGCAACACTCCTCACCAACATGAGCTGACACCAATACCGACAGATTTGACTCTGCCGTCAATGCTTATTTGATTGAGCATTGCGGGCTTTTACCTCCCACGGCCACTGAGACTCCTCTTGCTGTTCACTCGCACACGGACTACTTCGCCTCAATAGCCTACCCGGCAGTTGCAGAGGTCGGTGTCCGGGTGAACAAGCTCGGCAAGTCGAGCGTCACGTATGAAGTAGCTCTTTTTGAGCGAGGGGTGGAGGGTGTCAAGGCTGTTGGCGAGTTTGTCCATGTCATGGTCGAACGAGCAACGGGCCGCCCAACAGCGACAGGCATGAGCGACAAACTGCGTACTGCCTTGGAGAGGATTCATAAGGACAGGCCAAAGGGTAGCAAGCTGTAACTAAATATAGAGTAGATATAGCTCTCGAGAATGTCTAGCGTCAGTGCCTTTTTTCATGCGCCTCGATTCAGACGAGGAGATTTAGTCATAATGCATACAAATATAGCTCCACGACATGTCCTTGACCCGATAAGGGGTCCTCTGGAGCTGAACCATGTCCAAGGGCGAATAAACAGCCTGTTACTTACCTCCTGTTAATTTAATACATGTTATCTATTCTTTGATGTTAATGAAGGCCCATAGTCTGGTTTTTTGTTGTCTTTGCCTACGTGGGGTTTACTCAACATTGTTCCCTAGGTCCAAGGCACCATAAACAAGCACTTTACAACACACGCAGGGAGTCGGCATGTGCCTGGCACAATGGCTGCACAGAAAAAAAATTGACATTTGAAAATACGAGGACATCGTGGATTAGATAATGATTGGCGATTCATGTTATAAATTCTACGACTCTGTGGCTAATTTGTAGTCTTGGCATAGATATATGAGGGCGGGGATATACCCCTCCATACATAGTAGCCAGTCAAGCGAAGTCTTTTAAATTGGCCCCTATTAGCTTTATTATGCCGACTCTTCAGGATCAATAACCGGAACAATCGGTGAGGCCACCTAGTAAGATGCTACGTCCTCGTATCTTCATGGCGCATTCAACATCCTGTTGTAGCTTAAGTCTCCCCGCACATCATGACGGAATTAAATGACCAAGATAGAATCCGACAGACAGGTCATCTTTCACATGAAATGTCTAGAACAATAAATAGCCTAGTTACTGTGATGTGCCGTCTTTTGCCAAGCAGACCAGTTGATTAGTTGCGATACCTCAAAACGACCTTCCTGTCTCTGGCGGCAGCGCCGTGAACTCTTGCTCAGATCGGGCAGCTGGTTAACAGATGGAAGACGGGGAAATCTAGTCAAGTTGGCCAATTGCTAGATTAGCGTGCAAGCCAAGACTCCTAGGTGCAAGATAAGAGTTATGGGGGCGAGTTTTCATTACCCTCTGAGAAACCATCCTCTCGCGCCGTCGTTTGATGAATAGCGTCGCGCGGTACCTGCCTTGTTGAGCAGGAGAACTGGGAACTATGGCGTTCCTCTTAGTCGCTCCTGTTAGTCGTAAACCGCTATTGACAGCTGACAATGCATGAAATTGAAATAAACAGTGGAATTAAAGTTTTAGAGTTGATGCCGCTTCCAACCCGGCCGCCCACTCGATCCCCCTATTCAGTAGGATGTGCGCCGCATAAAAGATCCGTCTCAGCCACGACAGCCCTAGCTGGAATTAAGGCGCGTTGGTCCGGTTTATGCCTGTTATGCCGTATTAGGGAGGAACCTCACAACGGAGACTTGGCATCCTGTGATTTCCGCAGATCAACGCGCTTCTCCTATCGTCTTGACCCATGCTGACACCATCAAACAGCTAATCATATTGAACTTTGCAAAGGCTGTGCACCTGTTCGGCTGGGTTCGTTGGCGCCGGCCTCGTTTCGCATCTTTCGTACGACGGGGTTATTGCACTTGCCTACTATGGAAGGTTGGCCCAGTAGAGGCCCGCAGAACGAGTCCATGCCGTGTTTCGTCTTGACTGTTGACAGGCTGCCGATTTTGGGATGTGGAAATGAGGCGATGACACAAGGAGCAACGAGAGAACATGCGGCGATTTGTAAAAACCGTCTGTAAGCGGCGCTCTATATGTAATCGCAGTAGTATCTGTGTTGTATAAAGACTCATCCTGTCCACGACTGTAAGTGATCTTGCCTCTCCATCCTGTGCATCCTCTACTCCAAAGCCCAATCTCTTCAGCCTCTTCCTCTTCACCCAAATCCACCTATCACCATGCGTTTCTCTACCCTCCTTACTACTCTGCCTCTGGCCCTGGCCAGCCCCATTACCGAGAAGCGCACTGAGCAGCCCGCGCCTCTCTACCTACATGAGTCCGAGAAGCGCACCGAGCCCGCACCTCTCTACCTGCACGAGTCTGAGAGCGATCTCGTGGCCCGCGGCGGCAGTGACAGGTTCATCATCAAGTTCAAGGGCGACAGACCCTTCTCCATCGTCGAGAATGCGCTGCAGGGCGTCAACGGTGACAACGTCGCCCACCGCTACCAGAACAAGTTCCGCGGCTTCACGGCGCACCTGGACCGCGCCGCCGTCGAGGGCTTCCGCATGGTCCCGGGCGTCGACTACATCGAGCAGGATATGTCCGGCACCGTGAGCGGCTTCCTCACACAGTCCGGCGCTCCCTGGGGCCTGGGCCGCATCTCCCACCGCAGGGCCGGCTCGAGCGACTACGTCTACGACGAGTCGGCTGGCAAGGGCGTCTGTGTCTACATTACCGACAGCGGTGTTGACGAGAACCATCCTGTAAGTTACAATGACCCAATTGGCACTTTCAGCTGGAGAGAGAGAGAGAGAGAGAGAGAGAG